GAAGAATCAAATCGATTTTCATGATCATTTACCCTTTATTGAGGAGAAATTGCGCGACGATGGTTTGATCAGAGAATTATGCAATATATTCCGACTGTTGATGGATGCTGATAAAGGTTTGATTACGTTCGATAGCTTGAAGAAAACTCCATCCCTTTTAGGACTACAGGACCAAAAAATCCCACTATGACCTTGCTACTTACAAAGCTTTCCTTCATGTCCTGGGACCAAAAACAATGATGAAGCCTCATCCCGTGTCTCACAACCATGGAACAAATAATCTCAACCACCAGTTACTCAAAGGACAGGAATCATTAGCTGAATACCCATTTGGCAGCATTTTACACTCGGTAATCTTTATTTCTTATTATTCTTCATTGCTAAGCACCTGCACCAGATTAAAACTACTCCTACTCCTACTCCTACTCCTACTCTTAGGGATGTTTTGGTTTCTACAACATTTCCTCAAGGAGTGAATGATATCTGCAAATGAAATTTAGTAAAACTTATTTATTTGTGTTCATTATATATATATATATATATATATATATATATATATATATATATATATATATATATATCTGTATGTATGTATGTATGTATGTATGTATGTATGTATGTATGTATACTTGAATTCATAGTTTTATTTATTTCAGTATAAATATATTGAGGGTATTTTGGTCTCCTAATAAAAAAAATGAAGAAGGGAATTGATTTTTTCTACCCTCCCCTGGCCCTACTGCCCTAGGAAAGGTGAAATCCTCCAAACGTAGTTCTTGAATCATTTGGATGGAATTGAATTCATGTAATATGGAAACCAAACACGCTATGGAATAGAATATCATATTCCACTTTGGTTGGACTTTAAACCAAACATGTCCTTACAAAAATGAAGCTATTTTTTCTTATTATAGGCTTCACTTCATTACCAGCAGGTCAAGTTTCATAAATTCAAACTTATGATTAATATATATCATATGTAGTGAAGTTGTTGCGTTTTTTATGAATAAATAAATAAATGAATATATAGGATAGTAGCTACCCAAAAGCAAAAGAGGTATAGCTAAATTTATTTTGTATTTTGAGTTTTGTTAGGTTGAATCGGCACCAGGTTCAGCACCACTGTTGTTGCTGCTATCACCTTTGGATAGTGACGTATAGGATAAGTTTGTTGTTGTTCTTGGCAATCTTTCCAATGTCTCAGGCGTTATCCTTGTTGTTAGTTCCCCTACTGTAAGTAAATTTGTTCTTAAGATATTACTTTTAATACCTTTCCAATTGTGTTATTGAATTTAAGTTTCAAACAAAATGTTAAATGGACCCAAATATAGCAATCACCTCACCTGCAGTTGACAAGTCGTTTAGTTTGCACAGAAAAAAGATCTTAGATAGTGCAAGACTAACTTTAATATTATTTTTTTATTAAATTGTAGTGTAATATGAATTTTAAAAAAAAAAATGTTAAGCATGACAGAAACAAGTGTCAGATGCGTGCTTGTATCACAGCAAAAAAAGATTTAAATAGTGCAAGAATAAGTTTGATATATGTACAATTATGTTTTCGAAATGTAAAAGTATGAACTGAAGCTCCAAAAAGCACCTAGAAACGACCAACCAACGAGTGGTTATCTGAGTAAAAATAATTGAGATTTAAATTAAAGTAAATTTTATGCAAGTGCAAATATAGGCAAGTAAGAAAATACAGAAGGAAGAAAGAAGAATTATGGGGAAATGGGATGTTGGATCACTCCTAACATCTTACCCTGAGGTATGTGTGTGTTCCATCCAACCAAATAGACCCTTATCCTTAGGTATAGTGTTTGGTGTGATGGAATCGGCGAAGGAATGGAATGAAAAAGATGTTTGATTCCTTCCACTTTGTTATTTTTTTCATTTCTTAGTAAGGGGGTGCTTTTTCTTCATTCCATCAGAGAATGGATTGAAAAACTGCTTAACTCTTTAAAAATTTTGTCATTTTACTTTAGTTAGGATCTGTACTATCCTTATATTTATTTTTTTTCAAGTAAGGATATGCATCCTTATATTTATTTTTTTCATTAATTTATCTTAAAAATCATTAATTTATAACTATGGAGGTCTACTTATACAGAATTGAAGTCTCTAAAAGTGCTGAACTTGCTAGTCAATGATATGTCAGATGCTGTCTTGTCACACCTAAACGGTGAAATCTATTAACATTCATATGTACTTAACATTCATCTGTGTTTTCCAAAAGTTCATACACACAAACTTTTACAAATGCAGGTTTGATAAATTTGGAGAGCTTAAATCTGGATTCATGTAGAATTGGGGATAAAGGACTTGTTCACTTAGCAGGTAATTCTGTTAACAACCATCTTTATTATATATTGATGTATCCATATCCATATGTTGATAATTTGATATGTGTGTGTGTGTTTCAGGCCTTGTTCATTTAAAATGTTTGGAGTTGTCTGATATAGAAGTTGGAAACAATGGTCTTCGTCATCTCTCTGGTTAGTAGTATATTTGATCATGATCCAATCTTGTTTGACCCTTTGACTTGGAGTTGACTTTCACATGATCCTGATTTTTGCAAGTTTGGTGAATTTGGAAAGTTTGAATCTTTCATTCACACTTATTATAGATGGAGGTTTGCGACAGTTGGCAGTGAAACGGATATTTACATTAATTTCACAACCCCTTGAGGACTTTAAAGATCTTTATTATCCATCATTTGTTGAATGGGTTTCATGTATGGTACAAACCTTTTCCTCCAACCATATTTATCTTATTAGGGGGGGTGTTGTTTCTACTATATGCCAATATGCTTTCCTTAGACTCTAGTTCTTTTGGGTTCAGTTATAGTCTAACCACAAGCTTTCGGGGCCAATTTAGTTGTTGAGACCTTTTCTGAATTCAAACACCTTCTTCTTGTGTATAAGTTCAATAGCAAATTCAGTACTTTCTTGTGTATAAGTTCTATTACAAGACAAACATATTTTTGAACCCTTTGAGATTTATCCATTTGTCTACTAGTGGAATGATTATGACATTAAATTTTGTGCAATGTATTATATTTTTTGTATATGGTATTTTATTTTCTATTATGAGACATGAAATGCTAATTTAATTTGAAAATTAGTAAATCTATAAATAATTTTTTTTTTAAAAAAATAAAATTACAATACGCAAAAATGTGTGTCATCTTCATTTATGACATGGCCTTTCTTGACAGCAACTTCAATGATACACATTGCGTGTCATTAATGTGCGTCATCTATAGAGGACGCGCAAAAGCGTTTCGTCTCTCATTATGACAGGGCCTTCCTTGACGCGCATTTGAGCGATGTTTGAGCATTTTATGACGCGCAATGAGCATCTTAAAAGGTTGTTTTTCTAGTAGTGTAGCAAAAACGTCTGGTACAACTTGTGGAATAGCAGCCGAAACTCTGAGGCATCAACAACCATAAAACGACCTAGCAAACCTCTATTTATAATGGACCTGGTCCGGCCTTGGGTTTACGGCCATAAGCTCATAGTTGGCCGTAAACTCATACACAGACTACTAAAATGCATATTTATACAAAAGAACCTATTACAAATTGTAACATCCCCCTCTGGCACGTATCACAATATTGTCCGCTTTGGGCCACTCGGCACGAGGACTTCCCATGGGGTCACCTATCCCGGTACTACTCTCGCCTGAGCACGCTTAACTGCAGAGTTCTTATAGGATCTGCTGCCCTCACAGCTTTAAAACGCATTGTGATAGGGAAGGTATCCACACCCTTATAAGGAATGTTTAGTTCTCCTTCCCAGCCGATGTGGGATCAGATCTAACCCACTTTCACCTCTGGGTATGACCGCTGAATCGTCCACTGTAGAGTGTATGCATGGGTGTGTGTATTCTACTGTAGAGTGAGCTTGGTTTGGCTGGAAAACAGGGAATGGCCACCACCACCACCGTGAGGTGGTGGCTGCCACCATGTGCCCATCGTGTATGTGTATTTTAGTGCGTGTGTGAGTGTGTGAATTTGGTATTTTGCATTGTAAATTGTAAATATGGAAATAATGGAAAGAAATTGAAAACCACCACCTTAGGGTGGTGGCTGCCGCTTCCTGCCGCCACCGGCCGCCGTGTCGGGTGGCGGTGTGCTCGCTTTGTGAGCTTGATTCGTTTAGGGTGCTTGTAAACCCTAATGGGTCTTGTAAGCTCTAATGGACTCTAATGGGCTTAATAATACTCTTGTAGGCTTAATAGGCCCAATAAAGCCCTAAATAACCTAAAAGTCCAACAAAGTAATAATGGGCTAGTATCTGAGTTGGAAAAACCCTAATGCCAGTAAATCTTAATTTGGGGATTTAATCGGGTCACACACACGCAAAAAATAATAATCATTGGCAAACTAGCGTAGGGAATAATGGACTTAATGGATTAAGTCCTTAATGGGTTAAGAAAGAAACACTATGGTTTTCCGCTCATGGGATCTTTGGAATTACACTCTGATATTGTTTTATGATAACATGTTTAATTATTTCTACTTTGGTTTTGACATGACATGATATTACAAATGTTTTATTACACTATTGGTTTTTATAATGACTTATTTAAAACTAAAAGTTTTAGCCTGTATTTTTGGGACGTTACCTGGGTGCTGGCCTCCCCTTCGGTCCTCTCGACTGGATACTGTCTAGCATATCTGGGTGCTGGCCTCCCCTTCGGTCCTCACGACCGGATACTGCCTAGCATATCTGGGTTGTTGGCCTCCCCTTCGGTCCTCTCGACCGGATATGCCTGACAATATATGTATGTTATGTGATTATATGGTATGTGGTATGATGGGGGAACTCACTAAGCTTCGTGCTTACGGTTTTCAGTTTTGGTATCAGGTACTTTGTGTCTAAAGGAAAGGAACCGGTTTGATCGCAGCGCATCACACTATGGTTTTCCGCTCATGGGATCTTTGGGATTACACTCTGATATTGTTTTATGATAACATTTTAATTATTTCTACTTTGGTTTTGACATGACATGATATTACAAATGTTTTATTACACTATTGGTTTTATAATGACTTATTTAAAAATAAAATTTTTAGCCTGTATTTTCGGGACGTTACAAGTTGGTATGCGTGATAAACGAAATTTTTGGACGTGAAAATTGGGACGTTACAAGTCCCAGAATACCGGTCGATAGGGCCGAAGGGGCGGTCATGCCCAGCCATGCTAGATAGACTTTGTGATATATGTGTTATGTGGTAGTAGTAGGGGGTGAAATAGTCCCCAGTATCCGGTCGAGAGGACCGAAGGGGAGGCCAGCACCCAGATATGCTAGGCAGTTGTAACACCCAAGATTTTGGAAAGCCAAGAAAGTAAAGGAAACCCTAAATTTAGGAGGGACTCGGCGAGTCCAAGGAGGAACTCGACGAGTCCGAGCGGGATCCGAGTCGAGGAATAAGTGACCAACTCGGCGACTCGGCCAAGGCGACTCGGTGAGTAGGGTCTGTGCGAGGAAAACCCTAAATCTAGGGCTTGGAGCCTATTTAATCGCCTCATTCTTCTTCCTAGTGCTCCTTTACTGTCTCTCACACCCAGAACGCCGCACCCTAAGCCCCCATTGTGCTCATTCATGCTTTTGGCCATTTTTTAGTGATTTAAAGGAAGAAGAAGAAGTGGGAATCTTTGAAGCATCAAGGAGTGGCATTGGATCCGAAGTTTGGGGATCATTTCAGAGCATTTGAAGGTATTAAATCGTTTCTCTCCTCCATATTTTCCTTGGTTATGAGTTTTGGGGCTTTTAAGCCATGTTTGAGATCAATCTCGAGCTTGAGGTCCAGATCTGAGGTTGCTACCTCAGATCCATGCTTGTTTTGGTCTAGAATTCCGTAAAGTATCAGCCCTTGAGTGGATCATGGAGTCTTTTTGCCTTAAGCCCTAGTTTATAGCTTATTTTCCCAAGATCTCGTTCTCTACACGTAAATTTTGCAACTTTACGTGGGGAAAAGGCTTGGGAAGGGTGGATCTATAGTTTGGAGTTCATGCATGACTCAAATGTCCTCTGCATTAAAGGAGATCTGAAGGGACTCGGCGAGTCCTTTGAGTGGATTCGGCGAGTAGCATGAAGTTGTGGAGAAACTCGACGAGTGGAATGAACAACTCGTCGAGTCGTATGAAGATTGCCTTGTACTCGGGGAGTCTGTTCTTGGACTCGGCGAGTTAGGTCGCGAAACCCCAAACCCTTCGAGTTGTGACTCGAATCAGTGAGTCGGGTGGAGACTCAGTGAGTTGGACAGGTCTGGACTCAGAAATCGGTAGACTCGGCGAGTCGAGTCGCGAATGGAAGGAATCTGATCATTTTGAACTCGGCGAGTCAGTAGGGTGACTCGGCGAGTAGGGTTGACCTGGAAGGTTGACTTTAACCAGGACTTTGACCTTGGACCAGGGTGGACTTGGTTGTCTTTCGGGGGTCAGTTAGACTCAGTGTTGCATTGATATTGGTAGCTCGGGGAGCAAGGGGAGCAGGAGTTCCGTGAGTTGTCGCCCATCAACTAGTGAGATCATTAGCAAGTTCAGCCAGTGCAGGTGAGTTTCCCTTTGTGTGAATGGGTCTAAGGCCACAATGTCGGCCCATGTAGTTATGAGTAAAAGATCCGGGGGTTATCCCTAGGCACAGTATGCTAGTATTAATTGCAGGACGAGGTCCAGTAATAGCGGGCGGGTGCCCAAGGAATTGTTTATATGATAGTTTATACTTGTTGTCTGTGTGATACATGTATGTGCCTGGTAGGGAGGTGAGTGTAGGCGAGGTCCCGTATCTCACCAATAGCAGACTGTGGATGGGGTTCCATAACTCATTAGTAGCAGAATAGGGGCGAGGCCCAAACTAGAATAGGAGTGAGAGTGGGCTAGGCCCGTACCTCACTACCATTAGGAGCGTGGATAGGGTCCCATGACTCATCAGTAGCAGTACGTGGGCGAGGCCCAGGATAGGCGATGCTGTCACACCCCCAAACCAAGGATGGCGGAAACATCTGGGGGTGGAGGACTTCATGTATAGTATCACAACAACGTGTATAATAGTGCTCAAAGTAAAAACAACCACCATATATATAATTGCAAAAGTTACACCAAAGTATATGTTTACATGTTTCAAAAGCAATTACATTATGATGACAAAATAATTTGTTGACGGTTTAGCGTCCCATCCTCAAAGCGATGAAGTTTTCCTGTTTCACTGATTTCCTGAGAATACAAGTAGTTTTAAAAGAGTGTCAACACAAAGGTTGGTGAGTTCATAAGAGTTTTGTTTGAAGTAGAAACCGTTTTTCCTTGTAAAATCGATTTAGTTTGATTTCCAGAAAATCCAATATTTTCTTAGTTAAGTATGAATAGAAATAATCCTACATGATGCTGTAATGAACCCTAGAGTAATCCGTAGAGTTCCTCTATAATCGTCCAACATATAAAGTTATATAAGGCTTAACTTAGATAAAACGTTGAATATAGTGGGTCTGCCCT